CATCCAATTAATTGATCATGTGGTACATCATCATGCTCATTACCCTCTCCAACAATTGCTCTGGTACTGTGTTTGTGCAGTTATACTGAAACACAACATGACTCTCGAAGATATGCTTTACAACAGTGACCGAATATTCAGTTTCTGCTTCAGTTAGCTCCACAGGTGAAGAAGACTGAGAATGAAACACGTTTGACCAATCAGGATTAGTGGATAAAAGTAAACTTAAAGATATGTGATGTGCAGAAAACTTCTATTCAAACCTTGAAAAGTTTTCCAAAGGTAGCAAACTCTGGAATAGATGAAAGAATTCTTTCATATGAATCAAAACCAGAAACTGGTGCAGGTGGTGGAGCACCGAGACCAGTGGGCTTTTTCCCCTTGGCTTTCTTCTCTGCAAGTGGCTGCGATTTGACTTCCTTAGGCACAGAGTCAACATCAAAAGCTTCTTCGGAGGGATCCTGAAGAATAAAGATATATAAGATAACTGATTTCCCAAAGAATATATATAGAGTGGAAAATGAGGATCTGGGAAGCTCACATAGTTTTTAAGACTTGTCTCCATGTTGACAAGAGGGGCCTTCAGGGAACCAAATAGAAATTCTATGCTATCACTGTCAGTGCCAACGAGGCCATCATTACCAAGTACACTCAAAAAGAGTGTTGCTCTATCACGAACCTGAAGATACAATAGAGGGTGAACTCAAATTAAAGGCACTATCAACAGAAGTTTGTGTCTCTAGTCTCTACTCATACAAAATGTATTACCAATGCAGGAAGCATGCATGCACACAGAGAAATCCATGTATACCAATGCAACAAACCAGTACACAAAGAGATACAAAATATCCATAGATTAGTCACAAACCTCGTCATCACTGTCATAAATGCAGCGCTTCAGCAAGACAGTAATCCGGGGCTGCAAAACATTTATTGATATTTATCTTTGTCAACAACCAAGGATGATAAACAAGAAACAAAAATTAATGACGCTAAATAACATAACGATTAAACCTTCAATGCTTCAACCATAAACCCAAACTTTGCAAGTGTGCAAACAGCAGCAGCTCGCACTGTTGCATTCTCCAAGTGCACACGGTTATATATATACCGGATATACTTGCTCGGATCTGAGGTGTTTGGCCCTTCAATTCCCAGGAAATGAAGGATCTACGCAAGAAATAAAGTATTTATAGTTAACAAAGAAAACATAAACAACTCCAGTTATGATGCTAGGTTTAAAGATTTAAAAAAAAAACAATTACCTGTGTTGAAAGGTATGTGAATTCACAATCTTCAATGAACTCGCAAAGATGGAGCAATCCATTTTCCTTTGCATCTGGAATATCTCTGATAATGGTTACGATAGAATCTACAATTGCCCTTTTATACTCAAATCCACCTTCTTCCCTAAGAATGTTGCTTAAGAAGTTCATCCTACAAATCCAAAAGGGTGAGGCAGATTTATTATATACTAGACAGCTACAGTCCAATCAAAGTCTTAAAATCTTGAAGTCGTCAGAAAAATTAGTAATGCTACAAACCGAAACTACTAGTAACAAAGCTTAAAACTTCACTTACAGTGATCTATACTTCAGTGGAAATTTCAAACACAATGATCTTATGGCTTCCACAACCACAATTTTGAACTCATCAGCAATATCTGACATGAAATTAGTTATCTGCTTCATCAACCGTTCTACACTAGATTCATTCCCTGTCTTCAGGAGTGTGGTAATAGCAAGTGTAGCAATACTTCTATTCTGATCAGAAATTAGACTCTCCATATCAATGTTGCAGTTGGTGACAGCCATTGGATGAGTCATTGCAACCTGTGTAGTTTAAACCTCAATTTAGTATACAGTGTAGAAAGAGAAGATTTTTCAACACCTGAGTAGTATCTCGTTATCCTCAATAAAAGATATGATTAGGCTATATTAATAAAGTCAGAAACAAGCTTTTGTGTTTGTCAGGAATTAAAGAGAATACTTTTTGTTCAGATGTTCCATGCAAGAAAAAAAAGAAAATCATTGTAACCTTGTTAAGAGTCCGAACAGCAGCAAATCTCAGCACTGGTTTAGGGGAACTCAAGAAGAGCTGGAGCACAGTAATTGCTGGAGTCAGTTCTCGGCTTGTCACACCATCAAGCTCAGTGATAGCCCTGGCAGCCTCAAGGATCACCATTTCTGACTTATGGCGTAGACAACTCTCCAAGAAATCATAGAATGGACGTTCTCCAGACTGGCCGTGGTTGGACATGTCTCGGATTATCTGCATAGTAACACTATAGTTGGATATCACATAAAGATTTTCACCAATATATCATATTATATCAAATATAAGGACAAACCTGACTGGTGTATCGTATCAATAGACACTGGGCCAAAGGAGAGCGTACAGCTCCCCTCGTCAAGGTACCAACCAACTTGCTGACAGCCAAGCGATCGTTTTGACGTATCTGGATATGTCAATAAATAATTTTAATTCATTTGTATCTTCTTGTAGAGAAGGGCAGACATATAGTGATATAGTTGGAAAACTATCTACATCGATGTAAAAGCAGTTAAGCATATATGATTTTACAAGACCCTACAGCAGCGACACATGATATGTAGTAACTTGAACCAAATAGTGATTTACATATGCAGAATCTGTGAGGATGCCTTCAGATACAGATTAAATCATGCCGGTAAGAAAAGCAGCTCAGATTTGAACCTTACATCTGTGCCATGGTCCCATGAACGAATGGCAGAAGTAAAGTGTATGTATAAATAAATATGTCATATGTTCCTAGCAGTGACCATATTATATATACGCATATAATTACGAAGAAACTAAAGAATCTTATTGTTTATGTTTATAATCAATAAATCTAGTAGAGGCTCCAAAACCCTTTGCATAAAAGATGCTACTTGTCAACGAATCTTAAACTTAGATCCCAAATATCAGAAAAGATGAAACAAATTATTATCTGAATAGGAGGTCAAGCAGACAAGCACCGTACCTGATGAAGCAAAGCCAAGGAATGAAACTGAACAAGGGCTGCTCTAGATTGGACAGCTTCTTGAACCTCATTGCTCCATCTTTTAACAATTTCTGGGTTTGTCTGAAAACAACAATGCACTTGTATCAGTCTAACCTCACAGTATGAAATAGGCAGCTAATAGTGCATAAATGGACAGCCTCATATATTTCGCGTGTAAAGAACACCTTTAGCATGTGAAGTCCACTGACTAAAGCTGCACTTGAAACAACAGGATTTTTATCCACAATAGCTTGTTTCAAGTACCGCTCAATTTGTGTAAGTAGGGTTCCATCTATTATTTGGCATAGGACACGGATTGCATTTGCACGATACATATCAATCTTGCTGTTCATGTCCTTCATCAAGGAGCTTGTTACAATAATAACCTACACAAAGAAACAGACAACCAACTCATAAGAAATTAACCCTACAGTAATATGTAGGATGCCGCGTTTAAGCCAAAGAGTAATGCAAACCTCGTCAGATGATGGAGATAATTCCTTAATGATCAAGTAGACCATTCTCCTCAAACCAGTATCTTTTGACTGGAAAAGCTTTGTAACGGAAAAGAAAACTTCTGTTGCTTCAACCTGCACATGAACTCAAAAAGCATTGGAAAATGATAGCTTCCATGATAACATTGCATTTACATTCCTAACATTATAATAAAACTGACCTTGGTGAATGCCTCTCCTTGGTTAAGCAAATAAAGAAGCTTCGTAATGACCTGCGAGCACCTTCTAGGATCAAGCTGAGGCTCATTGAAGACTCTAGCTTCCTGAAGCACTGCTCCCTTCTCAATTCCCATGAATGGAGAATACTCCACTAAGCCACAAAAAACATTAACAACCGAAATAAGCAACCATACAGACCCAATCCAGAATGATAACATCAACACCGGATTTGCCCAATAACAACAATCACTACATGACACACTCTACACCATATGATTCAGGATCACAAATCGATTCGTATAAACACTAGAATTGAAAATTTCAGTAGATCTATACATCGATTTCCCAAACATCATAGATCTAGAAGCTAAACAAACTGATCTAAACAGAGCATTGCGAAACAGATATGGTGGAACGAAAAGAGAAAAAGAAGAGGAATGGGAAAAGCATACGCTCATCATCGTGATCGTCGTCTTTCTTCATGAGTGGTTGCGCCATCGCTGATCTTCAAAGATCTTTCCTTCAATAGTGTTTACTCAGATCTCTCCGTTTCGATTGCGAGACTCAGAACTCAGAAGTTGGGATCGAGAGAGAGAGAGAGCAAAGGTTAGAAATTAGAATTTTAGAAGATGAGAGAGAGCTGCAATCTACTGCATCAGCACCAGTTTAAGTGCCCAATATCGGATCTAATCATCTTTCGCCACGTCACATCTAAAGTATTTAACGGTTCCTTTCTTTTCCTTCAGATAATCATCCTCGATCCTTTACCATCGTAGATCCTTTCTTACTTGGTACTAACCGACGGTAGATCTTGAGCTGAACATTTTATTTGAAATATATCCTTTATCTTATAAGTCATATGTCATTTGTCCACTAAAATTCTGCCGCATGAATATTATTTTGTATTTAAAAAATATCAAAACAAGAAAAAAGAAAAAAAAAAACTCACGATCTCATTCACACACTAAAATAGTAAAATACCCTATAAAAAATAGTTTTCCTCTTCAGTTCACGATTCCCATTTCTCTTCTATCTCCAAAACACGATTTTCTTGAGTATGTTCGTTTGGTCGCTGCAGGCAGCAGGTGGCTGCGGCTGCGGCAGTGGCAACGTTTGCAGCAAACGCAACATTTTGGTTACCGCATTAAATCGACGTACATTGTTTTTATATTATTAACAAAGATGGTGACCCTATTATTTTTATATTAACCTTGCTGAAAATCTATTGCTTGAAAATCAATCTAAATTTGATTTGGTAAAATTTGTGTATCATGCTCTAGATCTTCGGTATATTCATTGAATAACATGTGAATATCATAGATTTATGTTATTGAAGCCGATACCAATACATTTAATTATATAATGTTATTGTAGACACGTACTAGTAATTACAGTTATAGTGTCAAAGATCAAAAACAACAACAAATTTTCCTAACACAGAAGCCATGATCATATCCTTGTCTTTCACAATGATCATTGCAGAGTCCCGGGATATTACACAATGATCCTGCAAACCATAAACATTTTGGTCGCTTTGCTCGGCTTGGTCGATAACCTATATACAATATTAACAATAATCAATACCCATTAGCAAAGACTGAAATCATCATGATGATAATTACATAATTAAGGTATGATTAACAGTAAACAATTACCCTCACTTCCGGCGGTTGTAGGAAGACAATGAGCAAAAGATATGATAAGGAGGATAGTAAAACAAAATGCCACTAAGATTTTCATAGTAATAATTATTATGTTAGTGATAATTCTCTTTAACTATTTTTAATGAGTTGTTCTTTATCTAGACTGGTTATATATAATATGAGAACAAAAAATATGTTTTATGCTTTTTTTTCTCCAGGTCAGAGATCCAAAAAGTAGATATTATTTGACCAGTCTAGATTCAAAAGGTAAGGGGGTGTTATTAGTTTGGGATTTAATAGGATTTTTAATGACTTTAAATGTTAGGTAAAATTATGTTGTTATTCAATCAAAACTTTTATAAATTCTCGTTAAAGTTTGGTGGTATTGGTTGTAGATTTGTAAAAAGTTATCTAAAATCATCATAAATCTAGAGTTATTGAATTAAGGGGGTGTTATTGGATTCTAACTTATAAAGAATTTAGATGACTATGCTAAAATCATAGATTGTATGATTTTAAAGGATTGTTTGAGAGTTTTATATAATCTTGTTGATTAGTTTTTTTAAAATCTTGTAAAGTCTCTCAAACAATATTTGTATTTATAAGATACTTTTCATGATTTTATTTTGTAACGAAGAGTGTTTAAAATCATAAACCAATAACATAAAATTTTAATTCATTAACAATGAGAGATTCTTTTGTTTTAATTGAATAACAGAGAACTTTTAATGATTTTGTAAAACTCTGTATCCAATAACCCCATATTTATGACGATTTTGAATGACTCTTTACAAATCAATAACTAAAAACACCAAACTTTAAAAGAGTTTTGTAAAATCTTGATTGAATAACAACAGATTTTACCTAACATCTAAAGTCATTAAAACTCTATATAACTCACAAAGTAATAACACCCCCTAAGAGTTTTATAAAGTCATTAAAACTTTTGTGTTATTCAATTAAAAGTAATGATGATGTCGTTCACATCGATATACTTCGGAACGTACAAATATTACTTGACCAGTATTGATAACGATAAGATCGTTTTGCTTGTTCAAAACTGATAACATCTTAAACATAATTCCATCATAATTTTCACCACACCATCTATACTATAGGATAATATATCGTTTACTATCGTAAAACTAGGATCGGAGGAAAATTGCCGGGTTTTTTTTTTGTTTTGATGTAAATAAAATTATGAAAATAGATTGTTGATGTTGATGTTGATGTTGATGTTAGATATTTTAGTATTCTTTTGTTAGAAAGTATATGTAAAAAGTAGTTAGAGATTTAGGAAGATCAACAGATATATTATATTATATATCTACTGAGACCTCTATAAAGTAACAATGTAACATTTTTTTACTACTATTTGTTTTAGAAATAGAATTATGACTTCGGATACGCGCTACATCGGGGAAGAATATTTACATATACATAGGATTTATTTTTATTTTGTTTTAAAATTCATTATCAAACTTAATTAAATTAGCTTGATTCGACATGTCTTATAATGGTGTTGTTTTAAAAATAGTATAATGAAATTTTACTCGTTTTGAAGTACAAGATTAATGATATTATTAATATTTTTGTAATATCGATTTAAACCCGTCACATCATACAACCCGTGTATAAATGTGTATTTTAAAGCAAACATAATTTGTAATAATATATCCCTACTATAGTAAAAGAGAAGTACAAATACTCTCTCGGGTCGGTTTAAAAACAAAATTAAACCCGACTTCTATTTCGGATCCTCATTACTGTTTTGCTCGAATTTTATGGAATTTTAATCGGACTTTAACGGGTCTCCTTATTGGGCCAATGTTTGAAATCCAAACGACTGCTACGTTTTTCCAGCGTACAAGATACAAAAACAGAATATTCTTAGTACTTTACATAATAACTTTAACGTGGTTATTATGTACTCACCTATAGAAACATATTCGCTAGACATGAGTTTGAAAATATATTCTGCAACCACCTATAGAAACAAAATTAATACTCATTCATACCTTAACCGTAATATCTGCTTTACCTTGATTCACTTCGATTCTATACGATATTGAGATTTTATACCTGAATATCCTATGATATTCGCTAAATATTTTATCTAAATGGTATCATCGTTTCTCTCATAATTCAAAAAAGGATAATAAACAAACATTTACATGGTGATTAGTACAAGCCAAATTTTAGTTAAAAGTTGGTTATATAATAATTCTAAAACGTAAAAATAATAATATATATATACTATAGTATTTTTGCGAGAGTTTTTAGCAAAATTTAAAGCTATAAGAATTTATTACATTGTAAATTTACTAGCAATTTATTAGTAAATTTACAATTTAAGAAAATAAATTAAATACTCCAAATCAATAATGGAAACTTTGGAATATATAGAAACTGCATTTGCATAAGTGCAATGTCCCACATCGGATAGAATTGTTCTTACAATGGTCTAAAACATATATAAATAGGGACTAAATTAAATGCTTCCAACTCTGAATGAGCAGGAAGCGTGATTTTCAGGCTTCCAAATTTTGCAGTTTATTTGGTTAATCCGGTTTTTATTTGAGAAAATTAAAACTTTTATTATGTTTCAAAATATTATAATATTTAAATTTTTATAAAGTTTAAAAACATTACAAATATTGAAAAATTTAAAAGTTTTAAGCTTTTATAAAGTTTCAAAATATTATAAATAGTGAAACTTTTAAAATGTTTAAATTTTACAAATATTAAGTTTTACAGAATGTTCAAAACTTATTCAAAGTGTAAGTGTTATAAATATTTTAACTCTACGCCAAGTTTAAACTAATGTATTATTGAACTTGCCATAATTTTAAACATTGGCTTAATTTATGGCGATTATATGACGGGACGGGTTGTAAGACGGGACGGGTTGTAAAACGAGAAGTGTTGTTAACTACATATAAAATTTAAAATATTTTGAGTTATTAATATTTTAAATTTACACCAAGTTTGAAGTATGTATATTGACTTTGCCAAAAAATTTAACATCAGTTTAATATTTTGGCAATTATATAACGGGATGGGTTGTAACACAAAAGGATTATAATATGCTTTCAACAAATTATATGACATACGAGTTGTAAGATGGGACACGTTTAATTGATTACTAAGAAATAAAATATCTTTAATTTCATACTTCATCCACACCAATATAGGATATGTATAATCAAAGTATTAAAGTGATTAAGTAAAGATTGATAGTATGTAATCTTAATAATTATTAAATAAATTCCAACAAAATCTGTAACCTTTAAAAAAAAAATGTTTATCCCATAGTGTACAGCGGATTAAAATATAGTTTGTTGATATAACTAAATATCAAAATTAGAACTAGATAGCTTAACAAACACTAAATAAACAGCCCCTACTCCCAATTGCAACTGTTTACCCGATAATTTTTTAATTATTATGACTAAATATCAAAAATCTCGGAATAATCTAATTTTAGTTCAAGGTTTCTATAATTCAAAAATTCAAATCGAAAATTTTCCTCCGCACTGTAGCGCGGGTCGAAATCTAGCTAACCAAGGTAAGAATATAATACACACCGCTTAAGTTTTACAACCAAATACTTTGTAATACCAAATCTGACATAAATATGATTTCAAATTAAATGAAAAAATTATTCACTTTTAGTGAACACTTATTATAAAATATATACAGTATTAGTTATGTACCCCCCTCCCCAAATTTAAAGTATATGGATTAATGAAAACATAATAGTTACCCCCATTCCCAATTGCAACTATTTAATTAATAATATTTAGGGATTTATATATCATGAAAAATTATCAACACAACTAAAAAAAAATTTCTCTAGGAAAATGTTTTAGTTAATAAAAAAACAAGTCGAAACTTTTCCCCCGCGCTGTAGCGCGGGTCCGACTCTAATTTCTTATGTATTTCGCATAACAATTTAAACCGGTTTTCAAATATTAACCCGCAACAACCCCACTTTTCAGTTGTAAACTTGTAAATAACTTGAAAAGTATCATTAAATCGTCCAAACCTATATGGCATATATATATAGAGAGAGAAATTACAGATTAAAGATATATATACAACATGATCGATTAGACAAGGCAAGTCTAGTTCTCTATTAATCTTCTTATTGGTCACACTCGCCCAATGGAAACTCCGTTCGAGAAGCAAATTTTGTCTCATCATCATTCTCATTGTTCATCAGCAACTTCTCTGTCCTTGCTCATAACATTGTTCTTTTTGTTTGCGCTATAGCTACCGAAGAGACTCTCCATTTCTTCTAAAGCCACACCACGAGTCTCCGGAAGGAAAGTGAAGAAGAAGACCCAAGCGGCAGCAGAAACCCCGGCGAAGAGAAGGAACGCACCACCGATGGTGAGACCCTTAGAAAGAGATAGGAATGTCATTCCGATAATACCACTCATTAGTCTATTCAACATCACTCCCAAACTTGCCCCTTGAGCTCTTAGCCTCACGGGGAATATCTCTGAGCAGTATACCCATGTTACGGGGCCTGCACCTATTGAAAATGTTGCCACAAAAGACATCACTGTCGTAACGCTAAGCCCTATAGCCCACTTAAGAGTTTGTCCAGGGTTCCTGTCAATTACTGTGAGACTAGTTCCGAGTGCCGTCAAGGAAATGAACATTCCGCCCATACTCGTAAGCAACAAGGCACGACGTCCAAACCGATCAACCACACAAGTCCCTACCACGATAAAGAGGGTCTTGACAACTCCTACTGCGACCGTAGCCAAAAGCTGGTCATTCTTGGACTTTAGTCCAGCCTTTGAGAAGATGGTGGGAGAGTAAAGCACCACCGCATCGATTCCAGAGGCTTGCTGGGCGAAATGGATGCCAAGACAAGCTATAAGGATGTGTCTAACCGACGGGGTTGGTCGGACAAGAAGGTCCTTCCACACGCCTTTACCGGCAGACTTCTTGTTCGGGACAACTATAACATCGTCTGTCATATCATCAGGGATTCCCGTCGCACGTTTGATGTCATTAAGCCTTGAGATGGCTTCTTCTTTAGTGTTTGAGGTTTTGTCGAGAACTTTAAAAGCATCCCCAAGACGACCTTGGAGGACAAGCCACCGTGGAGACTCTGGCATTGCCAACACTCCAATAGCTAGGAATACCGAGGGAACCGCTCCAACCCCTAACATAAACCTCCAACCAAGATGCTCGGGAAGCTTGGAGAAGAAGTAATTGGATACATATCCCAAAAGTATACCAATGTTGATAAAAATCTACATTAAAAAAAAAAAAGAAACATAGTACATCATCAACATTGTTGATAAAGTTCAATTTTTGTATATAGAAGATAATTAGAAAGATCGAATTTAGTGTACCTCAGGGAAAGAGCTAAGGAATCCTCGGGAAGAGGCAGGAGCCACTTCTGCAGTGTAAACAGGCGCAATCATCATAGCATAACCGACACCAATACCAGCTACAAAACGACCAACCATAATGAAAGGATAGTTTGTGGCAAACCCCATGAGAAGGGCACCACAAAAGAAGAATGCTCCGGCTAACACTATGGTATATCGTCTTCCGAGCCAATCGGAAGTTCTACCGGCCGCGCCTGAACCGATCAAAGAGTAGATATTCAGAATCCCCATCAGAATCTCAAGTTGTACGTCAGACAATTTCAAATCATCTTTTATGAAAATTGCAGCTCCACTCATCACTCCAATATCTGCAACATCCACAAATATGTAAAGATTATTATCTTTTATTAAATTGATCATTAGCGAATGAATAAAAAAAACTAACCGTAACCAAGAATGATAGAAGTCATGGAGGCTAAGATTGCACAAGCAAAAGCATATCGGCTTCTATTCCCTCTCGGTGGTTCGGGCACCGCAACAACAACACCTTGTTCTTCTGCTGAGGAACTCATAGTAACCACCGTGATTGTAAAAATTGCAGTGATAAATGTTATTGGTAAGGAGAAGAGAGTGTTTTAGCAGAGAACCTCAAGTTTCTTGTGTGAGTTATGAAATCTATTGAAGGATGAGAAGATTTAAATAGATGTACACTTTTATTCTCACAACTAAAGCCAACTAAGATCAACTATTTTAGAAACTAATAAAATGTTCAGTTAATTAATCAGTTATATCAAAATGGTGTAATAAAGTTACAAAGGATAGAAATTGGATTAGAATATATCAAGAAACGCATGATAAGATTTGTCCTAAAATTGGCTGTTTACAAGTAAGAGCAGATCATTTAAGAATTTAAGATTGGTTTCACTTATTGTTTTTGGTTATTTTCTTATCTAAATTTAGGAACATATCATTAATTATATAGGCATCCCACATGCAATATTTATTTAAATCTAAATCTAGACATTGCAATGAAAAATTGTAAAGATACACTCCATTTAAAACCCATTTGTTACACTCTTTTACAAGCATACTAGGTCCTGACCCGCGCTACAGCGCGGAGGAAAGTTGTCGGTTTTGATTTTTAAAAAAATTTTATGTGAATCGAATAAAATGTTATTTCGTTTTGAAAATGTAAGTAATTATTTGGGGATTATATAAAACTTATTTTTAAAAAGATTAAAGATTTGTGTGGTTTTAGGCTAACGTGTTACTGTAGGATTATTAAAAATGGGAATGTGGGATAATTGGTTATAGGTGTTTCATTGTTATTCATTTATCAAGATAGTGACGTTTTAAAAAAAAACTTTTAGAACGTTACTAATTGTGTGTATTATTTATTTGCAATTTATGAAATTTCTGTTTTCGGAAAACTTTATTCATGAAGGTTATATTATGGTTTTGTTTGTGAACCGTACGTGGTTCTGATAACCATTCTATTTTGTTTACGGTTCTATTTATTCACTGATTGGCTTACATTGGGCTTGAAGGAATTTTCATAATAGTAACTAATATGTGAAATATTACAATTAAATCTGGGCTTTTGGGCCATTATTAAATATGGAGATAAGGTCCACTACCAAATTCTTGCTCCTGTGTCGTATTGTCTGATTCTCAATCTAATCATTTTCCACTAACTCCTTTTCATCCACCGTTTCTCTTTATTAAGATGTAAGTAATAGAGTAATAATAATATTATGTTTATGTATCTATTTTAGGCTCGAAACACGGTGGTAAGTTTTTATGGGCTTTACCCATTATGAAACCTATTAGATAACAATGAAAATAATCGAAATAAAGGCCCATAAAGCTATAAACGCAGTAATTAATGAAAAGATCCAGTGATGAAGTCGGGTTTTGTTTTTGTTTTTGACCCGATCCGGAAATCTTTTTGTACTTCTATTTTACTATAGTAGGGATATCATGTAGATGAACGAGCGGCATAGGCAAAACTGGCTTAAACACAGCAGTTGCAGGAGTTTGCATAAGCAGGCTGTTACGGTTTCTAAGCATTTACAACGACTGGTTTAGCGTTTGAAAATAGGTGTGTTTGCGGAAGTTTTATGACTAGTGGATCGCAGCGGATGCAATATCGATTTAATTAAAAATAACTTAAATAAATATAAACATAATTACAAAAGTATAAAAGACCAAAAAATATTATTATGATTGGATATATTAAATTTGACAAAAATATTAAATAAATTAAAATGAATATGATTAACAGTTGAAAACCATAAATAAATGACTAAATAATTATTCATAAACAAATAAATTTATAAATATTTTCAACATAATTTATAAATAAAAACCATATATAATTACTAAATATAAATACTAAATAATTATCTAAAAAAAAAATGAAATAAAAATAATTATTAATATTGGAAAATTAAAGTTAGAGACTAATTACTTTTTTAAGCGCAGAAAATTAAAGTCGACCGTGTTTGTGCGATTCACCTCCGTCTCGCTCATCTACTCATCCGGTTAACACTTCTCATTGATAATATCCCACTCTTAGTCTTTCATGTCTCTCATTCTCCGTCTTTGTTCTCTTTCTCTGTTCATTCTGATTCGTTTTATAAAAATACTTTTCCAGTTTAGGGTAACTCTGTTTTCATCTGATTTTTCTCACTTTATGAAGGGCTTGTTGTACTTTTGTTATACTGTGAAAAATTTTCATTTCTTTTTGCTCTGAAGAGGATTAGGAAGTTATGTATGTTATTCTATTGCTTTGTCTAGTTCTTGAGATTTAGAACCCGTTCGAATATTTTAAATTTTGGGTTCGGTTTCGAATTGGGTTTTTCGAAACGGTTTTGGGGTCGGTTATTTTGCCGAGGCCTAGTTTTGCCTATAGAAAGTATATTTAAGAGTTACAAATAATATATAAAAATAATATATCAGTTTAATAATAGAAAAATCTACATTTAAATTTAGTAAATAGAATCTTAAAATTATTTTTATGTAGAATGATGTATTTTGTCATCTTTGTTAAAATCCAAAAATTCCATATTGTTCATTCAATTTTCCAATTTGTTTTTTTTTTTTTTGTAAAAAGGAAGAAATTTGTACAAATATTTGTGGCCGTTGATTTAAAAACCGGGAAAGCAGCAGAAACAAATCTGAAAAATCTGAGTTAAGCCAACCACAATCACTCGAACACGAACTCACTCCCAAAAGTTTACTTGTCTCGTTCCCAACCACTACCTTACAAAAACCCTAACCCTAATTTCTCTACCCCCAAATCTGTGATGGAAGACGAAGAAGGGATCGGGTTGATCTTAGCCAGAGCTACCGAGCTAAGACTCAAGATCAGCGATTGTATCGATTCCTCCAGCACCGCCGTAAGCGAAAACGGCGGCGACGGCGACGGCGGAGGAAACGAGGATCTTTCTCCCGGAGAAGAGAAAAAAAAAGATGAGATTTTTCGGAATCAAGATAAGGATTTTGACTCAATCAGCTCTGATGATGTAGTTGAGGAAGCAGAAGCTGAACGTCTTTTGCGTATACGTGATGCTCTTGAATCTCTTGAGTCTCAGCTTGCTTCTTTACAGGTCTGAATCATCAAAAAAACCTCAATTTCCTCTGTTTCTATGGTTTAAAGTTTCTAGCTTTTTAGTTTACTTTTGAACATTGAGAGTGTTGGTTCTGTTTTTGATTGAAATTGAATCTCAAATTGCTTCAAGTTTAGTCTTTGAATGTCTGAATTGCTTCAAGTCACTGTCTCAGGTATTGTGGAAATGATTTTTGATGATATTGATGTCATGGTATTGGTTTTGTTGTTTATTGTTCAGAATTTAAGGCAAAGACAACAATATGAGAAGCAAGTGGCTTTATCTGAGATTGATTACAGTAGGAAAATGTTGCTTGAGAAGCTTAAAGAGTACAAAGGGAAAGACTTTGAAGTACTACGCGAGACTACGACGTTTGCTGGTGAAAGAGTTGATTATGAGAACGATCTTCTACTTCCTCCTTATCCTGTTCATCCTCCTGTATCCCTTGGTTTAGATAATAATGGTTACCTTTCTCACTTACCTTCCAAGAAGAAGTCTGATGCTAATGGGTTTGGCTCAGGACATGTGAGAAACGAGGCAGAGGTGAAAAGTCCCGATGGAGGAACTGGAGGCTCGAATCATCATGGTGTTATTCGCTTCTTAGGCTCTGCTGCGAAGATCATGCTTCCAATCATCGGTGTTATTTCTATATTGTCTGCTTCTGGATATGGACCAGAGATGAGAATAAGAGGTGCGTCCTTAAACCTTCTTGGACTTCTCCCGCAGCGAGCAGTTAAAGGGAAGCGAACACCTAATCAATGCCCACCGGGAAAGGTTCTTGTGATAGAAGACGGGGAAGCACGGTGCCTTGTTAAAGAAAGAGTCGAAATACCCTTTGACTCGGTTGTTTCAAAGCGCGATGTAACTTACGGATATGGTTGAATTTGAATGAAAAACACCCTTCTCTGTAACCTTTCATTGCCTGGATTCAGTGTGTAAAGTTTCAACTTTTTTTCTTATCTCTTAGATGTGAAAGCTTCATGGTGCTACACAACTTTCACAAGTTTTGTTCTTGCTTCTGCTTCTCAGCAAATAATCTAGGAAAGAGAGGGAGAGAGAGAGAGATCCAGTTGCAGTAGTATTTGTCTTCTGCCAAATCCATTAACGGATTCAATGTATTGACACAACTCTCACCACTTGTGTGGTATATAATATCAGTAAAAAATAATGATAATAAAGAGATCTGCATACTTTTCAATTGTGTTTTGACTAATGGGTGAAGCCTACCAATACCAGGTTCCATTACAACAACACAGCACATGGTTTCAATTATTTAACTAAGCAACTTTATCTTGAACTTGGTAATCAAGAACTGTCTCTTGGATAACACAAAAGGGTCTTTATCAAAACCTATATATAATAGACACTTTTCCTAATTAGAGCATAAGATCATAGTTACTTATACAAAAACAAAGAATTGCATATCAAAAATCATTTAGTTTCTGAAGTATTATGGAGAGTGAAGGAAAGATTGTGTTCACAGAAGAGCAAGAGGCTCTAGTGGTGAAGTCATGGAGTGTCATGAAGAAAAACTCAGCTGAATTGGGTCTCAAGCTCTTCCTCAAGTAAGTCCTAATGATCTCATTGCTCTCTATCTATATTTGTATGCATTTATGTAACTATAATCTGAGATATGAAACATAGGATCTTTGAGATTGCACCAACAGCAAAGAAGATGTTCTCGTTCTTGAGAGACTCACCAATTCCTGCTGAGCAAAACCCGAAGCTCAAGCCCCACGCCATGGCTGTTTTTGTCATGGTAAGTTAACTAATCAGTGATTGAATAACATATTGTTTTGGTTCATGATTTTAACTAAGAAAATGGATATATTTTTGGGGTTTATCAGTGTTGTGAGTCAGCAGTACAACTTAGGAAAACAGGGGAAGTAACAGTGAGGGAGACTACTTTGAAGAGACTTGGAGCTAACCATTCTAAATACGGCGTCGTCGACGAACACTTTGAGGTTAATAGTCATATCTCAAAATGTTTCTTTATCATACAAATATGTTAATTCGATTGTTTGTTTGCTAATCCAAAAAAAAAAAAATGGTACTAATATACTTGCAGGTGACGAAGTATGCATTGTTGGAGACAATAAAGGAGGCGGTGCCGGAGATGTGGTCACCGGAGATGAAGGTTGCTTGGGGTGAGGCTTATGATCACCTTGTTGCTGCCATTAAAGCTGAAATGAAGCTTTCCAACTAAAAATCATATATTATTACATACTTGTAACAAAAGTTTGAATTTGATATGTTGTTATGACTGTTGTCCAATTTGGTTTGGTTTGAGGTTTAATTATAATAATAGTGTGCATTCTAAAAATGTTAAATGGTCAATCCTTATTTTTAGTTTGGGAAAAATGTCATTTAAATGATAAATGACATTTTTCTCATCTTAACCCAAACAAGAAAAATTGAATGTTTAAGGCTTAGTTTGCGGGGAATTGTTTTCCGCCGGCTTTGGCTCTGGAGACAGTTTCGTAATCCGACGGTTTAAGTTTCCCTCTTTTGGGCGTTGTATTTCACTTGTGTTTCCCACAACAAGCTTTAATAAAAATTTAGAGGACAAAAAATAAAACATTAAATGTTCAATCAAACCACACATTTTATCTTTACTAAACTTTCTTACACAATTTGTTTTTCTATTAACATTAGACTTTTTTGGTTTATGGAAACTTGAAACTTGATAGGATATAAAGTAATGTACAGTACCAACTTTCACATTATCCTAATTAAGAGTTTATAACACACAAACTGAAATACCCTTGAAAGGGTAATCATCCTCGAGAAATAAGAGAGCCTACAACCCCCGCGATTAGGGTCGTTGGATCTCCGAGCACCGCGGAAATGACAAACTGCACGGCCATTCCCGCAATCTCGCAGCATTTCTGAACTTTACCTTTGCTACTACTACGGTGGTGATGCTCAAGTGTGTTCTTTAAGGCCAAACTCTTACGTTCAATGCCTTTACCATTTTCTCCTTTGTACAACTCTCTCCAATTCTCCACCAACATCTCTCTTACACATGCGACATGGAGATTATACTTCTTGCAAGACGACCTGTTTTTTTTTTGTGAAAAAAATAAAAGTAACTGTAATTGGTTTTAAACCTGATTTTTATTATTAACTAACCCAAAAACTATGTTACAATTCATTTAATCAAGAAAAGTGGCAAAGATAAATTTTTTTTTGTGAAACAAAACAAAGTTAAAATTAATGTGATAAATAATTAAGTTCTAACTTAGAGTACACGCTATGCAACATATATATGTCTACCAATTACCAAGCCACAAGCTCATTTCTTTAAAAAAGGATAAAGAGTTTTGTGTGTTTGAATGCCATTGCTTTAATCTTTAATCTCCCCTTTGCTCTAACATATATTATTCGGTATAAAGATGAAATTAATGTTCAAGAATCAATACATCAACATAATCCAAAATTTTATCTTATTGCTTTTTAATATTCTCTTAGATATGTTGATTTCGAATATATGCTAATGTTGACTAAAAAAAAATGTTTTTCTTACATGCTAATCTTTAGTTAAAGTTTTCAATTTTACTATTTACCAAAGTAACAAAGCAAGAACATTGGACCAATTGGTATGATCATAATAATTCAAGAACATCATAATAATTCAAGAACAAGATATAGAATCAAGAAGAGAGTACCTGTAACTCCAGCTACGTCCTTTAATACCACATCGATGACAAGAAGAACTAACTTTACGATAAAGAAAAAGTTTGGTATCTCCATCATCCAAAACCATAGGAAGCATAGCACAACAAGGGTGAAGATCAAACCCACAAGCCTTGCAATGGTAAAGGAATCCAGACACATCTTTCTCGCACGCGTTGCAGTACCGTCTCTCGTTCCCGGGCGGCTGAGCCAAAAACTGAAACGTACACTTTTTGTAAAAGGGATGTGTTATGGAGGTTGAAGGTAACGCGCAATGCGCATGGAGATCGAAGTCGCAGCAGCTTCCATGATGATTTTTATTACCGGAGCAGCGATAGCGAGAGCCGATACCAACTTCGTTGCATCCATCACACTTGAAGGGTTTCTCTGTGTAGTCGAATTTGAGGTTGTGTTGAGGGTGGCTGAAATGTGATATTTCTGCATATTTCTTCATTCTTTTTTAGTTTTCTTGATTGAGAATTGGGTTTTTGTGTAACAAGAGTTTGGTAAGAATCATAATTTATAGAGGGGATTATATGGAAAAGCTTTAATCAAGTGACTTGGAGCATCTAAAAAGAAAGATGGGAGTTTTATCAAGTGGAATCTTTAAGTTGCTGCAAATGTAAGAAAGTACATTATAAGGAGAGAATAAGAATGTAGAATATGAATTGGTATAAAACTTTTTGCCAATTATTGATTGAATTACAAAATAAATTTTTTACCAACTGTTTGTGGTGAAAAAATTGGTTTGCTACCAAGTGCTAATAGCTCAACTGGTAAAGATTTCTGTCAAAAACTTATAGGTCGCCGGTTCGAGTAGCGCTTAGGACGTAACTATATAACATGTATTGGTTTCGGGCCCGAGGGGATGTACGGGCTTTGGCCCATAACCTCTTTGATTATTCAAAAAAAAATAAAAATTTATTGGTTTGCTTATATAGATGCTATGCAATTTTTCATTTTGTAAAAACATGTATCAAAATTAACCACGTTTATATTGGATTTAAGCAATGAAATGATATGAAACAATATTGTCGGATACCATATATAAGAGCCACCAAACAAATGTAAACCATATCCTTTCAAATCGGAAATTAAAAAGTTCTTAATTTAAATTAAAATTCGATAGTTTAAATTTAGATATTTGAATATGAGGTACATATATATAATAAGATCCATTAAAATCGGGAAAAGAAATAGGCAGTTAACTTAAATTAGATATGAAAATTTTATATATAAGTACACTTTGTAGTTTATTTTTAGATATTTTATAAAACAATCATTCATCTAGGATGGGGAAATCTATTCAACTCTCCTTCACCATTCTAACTTTCTTCATCATTCTCGTGTTAGGTTTGTATTCAAATTTTAAATCTTTTAGATATATGTACATAGAATTGTTCTAAGATAATATAGTATCATACAATTTTATTTCCTTAAATTATCCAACATTGAAATGAGAATTTGACCAAGTTATGTAAAATCTATGTCGGAATTATTTTCCATCACATAATTTTGTAATATTGACTGTATAGTTCTTTCTATTTCAAAATCATATTCAGTGCTAGCTAGACCTAAAATTCGATTTCCAATTGCAACTTTTTTTAAAACATTGTCACCTGAATTTGTAATTTTCTCGTGACTGAAGCTATATCATGTCTTAAGATGTTATGAAAAAAAGTATTTTGATATAACTTATTTAAACTAACATATCTTTTACATTTTAATATCAATGTCATGTAGTTTTCTATATATGTATGACACTTTCATGGTACCTCTATTTAACAATAACTATTATTAAAGTATACATTTATTTTTTTCAGAATTAAACATAAAAATATAAATTCAATATATTGAATAATTTTCTTATTAATATACAAAAAAATCCGGAAAAAGGCATTTTTTCCTCTACAGCTAATATTTATGCTTGATTAATACAGTATCAGGAGCAGTAGAGAATGTGCAGCAAGGGAAACCAAGACGACAACAATGTTATACCAATTTATCTCCAAAACAATCAAAAGATTGTGTTTACCAACAATGTGATTCTGCATGTCTGAAGAAGAAGTTCAAAGGGGGTGGTCTTTGTGTTCGTCCCACTGGGTGCGTATGCTTGGATTTTTGCTCTTAAGTTACAAAATAACATTTAGTCATATATACAGTAAGAGAATAATAAAATGCTCAGAGTAGGCAGAGATAAGAAGGTTATTTGGAAAATGCATGTAGTCTGGTCACAATGACCGAATTGTAATATGATTTTTTTGGCCAAAGATAGTGTGTACTAATAGTACTACTGTTATCAAGTTATAATATGATTTAATTAAACATAATATTAGCTAGTGAAATAATTGTTTTATCTAATGAAATAAATGTTTGATGAACAATATTCAGAAACAATTACAAGAAATTACAATAGGGATTGAAGGTGAAGTGATAATCAATGTTTCTCTTGATCACCTTTGTGGTGAAGTGGCTTATGAGATTAGTTTTTAGCTTAATTGTGAAACTAGCGAACTCTGACAAGCAAAATCTATGTGTGATGCTAAGTCATGATTGTTATCAAATTAAGAGAGAAGTTGTTTGAATGTATAAACACCAATAGTATATCAGTTTCCGAAATGTAGTTATTTAAGTTAGTTGTAGACGTTCAGGTATTCGGTCTGATTCCGAGTATTTGGGGTAAAGAAGTTTAGGATCCATTCAGTTATTTTAGATTTTTTGTTCAGGTTTAGTTTGATATAGATTACTTTTGTTTCGGTTCTGGATATCCGTAATAGTGAGTTTTAGTTTTAAATGATTAAATTTTAACGGATTTGATTAATTTTTGAAAATGATGTCTAAAATTTCTAAATATTTTGGTTTTTTTGGTTATTTTAAATATCTAATATTTATCATTGAAATTTTGGTTATTGGGTTATATCACGTTTAAATATAATTAATATTTTAAATATATAATTAGGTGTTGGATATTTCGGGTACCGATTTGGTTTCGGTTCGGTATCGGCTTTTTTTGTTCTCATTTACTATCCGTTATTACGTTAGTTACGACTCGGTTCAATTCCTTTATTTGGTTTAGTTTTAGTTTGGTATTTTCGGTTCGGTTATTTTGCCCACCACTTCGAGTCTACGACAACAAGTGTACTACAAAAGTCTACCAAGTTAAGTTATCAAAGAGACCAAGACTTTAGTCTCGGACCAGAACTACTCTACCGATGATACTAACTCGGATCATCAACCCGACCCGGAAACTCAAACCCGATTCAATCCTCTCAATCTCTCTCTTCACCACCGTCTCTTCTCCGCCGTCAGACCCATTAATTTCCGACGCCGTCTCAATCCTAACTCACCACCGTTCCAAATCACGATGGTCAACTCTCCGATCTCTCCACCCTTACGGATTCACTCCTTTTCAATTCTCCGAAATCACTCTCCGTCTCCGCAACAACCCTCACCTCTCTCTCCGTTTCTTCCTCTTCACTCGCCGCTTCTCTCTCTGCTCACACGACGTCGGTTCTTGCTCGACACTCATCCACATCCTCGCTCGATCTCGTCTCAAAAGCCACGCTAGTGAAGTCATACGTCTCGCTCTCCGTTTAGCCGACGACAACGAAGAAGGTGAAAACAGAGTATTGAAAGTGTTCCGTTCGTTGGTTAAAAGTTACAATCTTTGTGGTTCTGCTCCGTTTGTGTTTGATCTGTTGGTAAAATCGTGTCTTGATTCGAAAGAGATCGATGGAGCTGTGATGGTAATGAGGAAATTGAGGTCTAGAGGAATCAGTTTACAGATTAGTACTTGTAATGCTTTGGTTTCTGAGGTTTCTAGGCGTAGAGGTGCTTTTAATGGGTATAAGATGTATAGAGAAGTCTTTGGTTTAGATGATGTTAAGGTAGATGATGGTAAGAAGATGGCAAGTAAGGTTAAGGCGAATGCGAGCACGTTTAATTTGATGATGATGAGTTTTTATAGAGAAGGTGAGACTGAGATGGTGGAGAGGATTTGGAGAGAGATGAAGGAGGAAGGTGGTTGCTCTGCTAATGGGCAGAGCTATTGTGTTTTGATGGAGACGTATTGTGCGCGAGGTTTGATGAGTGAAGCTGAGAAGATATGGGAAGAGATGAAGGTGAAAGGAGTGGTTTTTGATGTTGTGGCTTATAATACTATGATTGGTGGGCTTTGTGGTAACTTAGAGGTTGCGAAAGCGAAGGAGCTTTTTCGAGAAATGGGATTCAAGGGGATTGAGTGTACTTCTTTAACATATGAGCATCTTGTTAATGGGTATTGTAAAGTGAGGGATGTTGATTCAGCTTTGGTTGTTTATAGAGAGATGAAAAGGAAAGGTTTTGAAGCAGAGGGTTTAACTATCGAAGCGTTAGTGGAAGGACTGTGTGATAGGAATAGAGACAAAGTTGTTGAAGCTGCGGAGATTGTGAAGGTTGCGGTGAGGGAATCTGAGTTTTATCCTAGTCGTGAGTGTTATGAGTTGTTGATTAAGAGGTTGTGTGAAGAAGGGAAGATGGAGAGAGCATTGAACATTCAGGCTGAGATGGTGGGGAAAGGTTTTAAGCCGAGTCAAGAGACATATAGAGCTTTTATTGACGGGTATGGATTAGCAGGTGATGAGAAAACATCTGCATTGTTGGCTATAGAGATGGCTGAATCACTCAAGCTAAGGGCCGAAGAAGTAAGCTAGAACTTGTGCTTCATTGGTAAGTTGCTGAATCACATAGAAACCGATCGGTTTACACAATGTAGTACGAGTTTCCGGTGATACCATCTCATGGAATGGTTACATAGGAAGTGGTACACATTGTAAGACACAACATTACCCATTAAAGCTCTAATGTTGAAAGGGGAGATTCAAATCAACACTAACACCACATGACCATATCTTTATTTCTGAAGCAATTCTTATTGAAATCACAATCATTGATAGTTACGACTTAGACAGAATCTTACGAAGCAATCACTCTTACATGGAAGACGAAAAAAAACTAACAGAAGAAAAAGAAACTGAAGAAGTTATGAAGTGATGATGGCTTAAAAGATAAGAGCCCAAACGGGGAAGACAACGAGACAAATGATTCCAACAGTGTTGGAGATACCATTGGGTTTAGTGAAGGCGTTTCTGAAACCACCTGAAGCTCTAATGTGTTCTTGGAGCAAGTAACATCCAATCCCTAAGCAAATGGCTAAACCAATCCAACTGTCTCTGAATGTTCCGGCAACTAAATTTGGTGCCACCACGGCGATTAGAACCAAAGCCACCGGTAATTCCAAGTACTCTATTAACACAGAACAACATATAAAAAGCCAAATCAGAACAATCAGAGTCTTGTTGTTTGTAATGAAGAGTCAAGAAAACAAAAGGAACACAAACCTCTGGCGTGTTTGGGAAAGAAGAGTTGTACAATGACAGCTACAAACGCAATCCATTTACCAATTTCTCCTCTGTATAAAAAATTTCAGACACAAGTTAGGTTTTGACAGAAGTAAGACAGAGACTCTCTGGCTTTTGTCGTGTTTTATACCTGAAGATACCAAAGATCAAGGAAGGAGCACTGAAGAAGATGTAAGGAATCAAAAGAGATGTGAGCATATTCGTCTTCCAGTTAGTTCGATCCAACACCAACAAGTATCTACATTTACAAACATCAAAACACATCATCAAGATTCAAGATCAAGAACAAGAAACGAAGTAAGACAGAGAGAGGAACAGAGAAAGAGAGGAGAAACGTTACATGGCGGCGATAGAAGCAATCCATTCAAGAACAGAGGTACCAAAACCTAAACCAGTAAGCGTGAAGGCATGGCTAGCTAAGTTCTGAGCAGCGATGGTGAGCTCGTTGAGATCAGTTCCGATCATAGAATGAAGGGTTCCATGATCACTCCTAAACGACTTGAGATTCATCTTTTTTCTTGCCCGGAAGAAAGACCACTTAGGAGAGAAGAGAGGAGCCTTTGGAATAATTGATGTGAGAGTATAGAAGAAGAAGAGATTTGTGATGATGAATGTGTTTTAGGGAAGAAGACTTGATTATAAAAGATGTAAGAAGCAAGTGACTCGATGGATGTATTCACGCCACGTGGCACATTAGATCCTTTTGTGAAAATATTTTATATTTTGTAACGAAACAGATATTTTTTATAAAATCGATTTACTGACGTAGACGTAAGACACATGTCGAGTCTAACGTATTACATACACATGAACGTTCTAATTGGTGGACGTAAGAAGCATATGGGACGAGCCAGCTGTATAAATTACTAAACATAAGGTATGTCGGTACATGTTAAAGTCAGAGATTCTCAATCCAAACTAAGTTACACAAATATGTTTCAACCCGATTGTTTTATTACCGGGGATCGATTTTTTTCGATCGCGAAATCACTAAATATTTCTATTTTATTAAAAACTTTCACTTAATTTTTTCCAGGTTTTAAAAAAATTACATACCTAAAATAATATGATTACGCCTAACACAACGGATTTGGAATTTCATCGTTTGAACTGGAAAATGAGCTTATAACGAAAAAAGTATTTTCTTGATACATGATCATCAAATGGACATGTATCTCATTTGCCTCATTAAAAACTTTGTCAAAAAAACTTATTGGGACAAAATTTGACAAAGAAAAAAGAATGCTTCTTCCTTGACAAAACCCCGAACCTACTAATTAAAAATGGTTTTTACAAATTTCCTGATTTTTTATTTATTATTATTATATGTAGCCAATAAAAGCTATAAGCTGTGTGGATTTGTTATAGTTTAAAACTTTTAATTATATATCATATGTTTTAATTATTGCTTTTTTATTGTAAATGATGTCACAAAAATGAAGTCTAAATTTCAAACATAGAAAAATACGTAGAAGGTTGGCAATGTCAAATGTGTAAGTAGACTTTTCTAGATGGATCAATATCGAATTAATTAATAGTTACAAAATATCGAATAAAACAGAGCGGCATAAGATATGGATATATTTAATTTGTTTTATCGATTATTTGATGTCGGCAGAGGCTTTAGTGAGTAGGGACAACCAAATAAAAGATGAAAATGTAATAAGAATAAATGAGTTTTTGATTTTTCATTATATTTGTTGCATCAAACTCTCATTATGATAACAAAGACTGTCTAGCTCCTTGTTACTCTTACAAGTTAAGATCTAGTTAGTTGGCTTATACAAATAAATTTAATAGTGACCTTATGCTCCACATTATCCATATCTTGACTAGAAATTTAGTCGAAAAAAGTAATTTATCAGAAAATTCATTAAATCTGATCATTGCTCATAATCAATTTCTGTTATGATTTGTCCTTAATTTATAAAACATTTTGGTGCAGTTAAAATTTCGTTTGTTAGGATCTCTAAATATAACCTATATATATTATTTAAAAGCAAACAGAATTAAAGATAGTATTGTAGCTCACTGCTCACAAATGTTAATTCATATATATCTTCTTCTGATATATTTCAAAAAGATTTTAAAATTATTTTTTCGTAAAGAATTTTCCCATTTAACATCTCATCAAATGAAGTTAATTTGAAAAAACGTTTTTAATTATGGTTATTTGGGCATTCTTAAGTGAATGCCAAGATCTCTTATAAAATTGTATCGTCATTATGTTATAATTGGTAGATTTTTTCGGATGTTTTATCAAATTAATAGTTTTGGACCTTGAATCGTTTATCATATCTCATATTTGATTTCAAAAAGTTTGTAGAGGATTCATTTCCAGTTTCAGTACAATCGCTTTAAAGATTTCTTCCGGAAAAAAAATTGATATGGGTTGTATTTCCTGTTCATCTCTAGAATATAGAAAAAGAAGCTTATTTAACCTCTCTCATACAAAAAAAGTTTAACACGGTGAGTCTCACGTTAAATTATTTAGCAACTCTCGAAACATCTCTAGTTTGTCTTCTTTTGTGCATCTTTCTCTCGAATTGAGAAATTGTTTTTGAACAACCACGAAATCCCATTAGATATTTAGGTTTTTTTGTGTTAACATGTGATTTCATATGAAATTAAGTATATTACCCACTTCATATTAATGTTTTCGACGAAATCTTCTATACTGAAACTGGAAATGCAACTTCATCTCCAAAATCTAAATTAAAGTTTGTTATTCCACGTTTACGTTAGAAAGTAGTATCAAACTCTCATTATGATAATAAAGTACGGTCTAGATAGTTGTGACTCTTACATGTTAAATGGCTTACACAAATAAATTAATGACCTTATATATGCTTCATATTATCCATAGTTCCATACATTCACTAGAAACTAGTCAAACTAAAGTAAATTATGAGAAAATTAATTCATTAAATCATATCATTGCTCATATTCAATTTATGTTATGCAAATTTGATTTTTCCTTAATCCATGAAACATATTTTGTGCAGTTAAAATGTCTTGTAATTTTTCTTTGGGAAAATGGCAGTGAGATCTCTTAAACTAAATTTTTTTTTTTTGGTATGATCTCTAAAAATAACCTTAATATAACATTTTGAAGCAAATAAATTTTAAGATAATCTTGTAGTGGCTCACTGTTTATATACATATCTTCTTTATTGATATTTAAAAAATAATAATTTTCCCATAAAGAACTTTCCCATTTAACCTCTCATCAAATATAGTAATTAATTTTGAAAATGTCTTTAACTATGCTTATTTGGTCATTCCTAAGGGAATGCCAAAACTATTGATAAAAATGTATCGTCATAATCGAGAGAATTTTTAGATGTCTTATCAAACAAATATTTTCGGACCTTCATTTCAACAACATCCTTAGTTAAACATTTTTTGGATCAAGTTTTTTGGCCTATTAAAAATCGATGAGTGTGAAAGAAATGGATCATAAGGTAAAGTTCCAATAAGTGTTAGGTCAGGTTGAACGAAGAAAACAAGAGTTAAATAGAGCTACGTGGTTTGTGCTTCCTTGAGACTTGGTCTCTTCTATTTCACATTTCGCTGAAACACTCCGAAACCATGAAAAAAGAGTCCCATGACAGAACATGAGGAAGAATAGATTAAGAAGATACAATAGTTTAAATTACTACAAGATTGTTCATCTTGTATGTCACAGCCGGCTAGAAATCTTAAATAATTTGTAATATCTCACATTTGATTTCGAAATAAGTTTACTCTTCATATGATTCCTCGGCCTAACCATTAAACACGATTTGATTAAATAAACAAAAACAATAGTTCTCAATTACATTACTTTTATAGATTTACTGAAAAGAAAACTAAAACATGTTTCTGCACAGGTTGGATCCATATGTATAGATGATATATATACATGTAGTTCTAGATTAATAAATATACACAATACCAACGAAGAGAGATATAGAAGTAGTAGAGTATTGAAAGATCATCACCAAGGAACAAAACGGTCCATGAGAAGACAAACAGTGAGCTCAGACATAGTTGCAGCTTCATGATCTTTCTCTCTTTGTTTAAGCCCTCTTTCTTCCGATCCTTGTTGTTGTTGTTTTGACACAACAGAGGATGTGGTCTTGCTCCTTTGCATCAATGGGTTTCTATGGTTTATCTTCTCACTCATCTTTTTCATCTCTCCCACCCATACCTCCATAGCTTTTGCCATCCTTCTTCTGCTGATGATGATCTAAATATCTTAATTATGAACAAGAGAGAGAGAAGCATGTGAGCTTTATGTAGACAAGGAAAGGAGACTAAACAAAACCATGGTCAAGTTTGATTTGTCTTTTCTTCAAATAATTGTGTTCTTGACACCTAAGTATGGTTCACATTTTGGGACCGTCCACTTAAAAGAAGAGTTGTCTTTTTGGGACATGTACATAGTTTTGTAGTAGCTTGGACCAAATCCATCAAAAATATCTCTTCTTCGTTTTCTTGAATTTTCCACGTTTTCAAAATATTGCTTTAGCTAATAAATATAGTTTTTGTGTAGAGTATTTCAAAACCGACCTTAGCTCAGTTGGTAGAGCGGAAGACTGTAGTTGTTTACAACAGATGATCTTTAGGTCGCTGGTTCGATTCCGGCAGGTCGGATATTTTTTTTGTTTTTTACAAATTTTCAAAGGGTAAAACTGAAATTTCCATATCTTTGTGATATTTCTAGTGACGTGTCGTTAATCTTATTCGTTGCAATTTGGATATGCACTATCCAATCCTAATATTGTCTTCTTATCTCATTCCACACTATTATGGCTTTAGAACCCCACTTGGCAAATAGTTAGGTGAATCGAATCCTTTCATCTTTGAATAATTTGTAATATGTCTGAGCTGGATTGATCTGAATTTTCAACTCTTATCATCTTATGTCTTTGTGAATCCATTGTTTCCTAGTGTTTGTTCTCTTGAACAGTTGTATTGACAACTTGTTGAAACTAGCAAAAATTGATTGATAGTGTTCACACATATTTATGAAAACACATGTTATTCTCAATTATTGAAAACAGTGTGCTGTGCTGGTTTCGTAAACCAGTTAAACCCAAGTCATCAACTAACAAGCTGTGATTAGTAGTTTATTGATCGAGTGATAAGAGTTTTTTTTTTTTTTTGGTAAAGCAAACTATAGTCATGATAATGAGTCAGTAAATTTATCACTCTAAATGGAACTGAAGCAAGCTTTCTCTATTACAAACAGTAATTAAATGGATCTGTCTCTTGGAAACCAAAGATCGTACTTTGGATAAGACAGACACAATGTTGAATCTTGAACTCTTTTTGTATACATGCCCGTTTTCAAACTTTTGAGCCTGCTTTCTAGCACCAATGGCTGGTTGAGTGCAACAACTTCATGAGATACCAAATGTGTCTTCAGTTATACCTGATGTGGCCTCCCTCAGAGTCTTGAAGCGCCCTGTTGGTTAAGTTGCAGAGATTATAAACGCTTGTGGTCTTGTTGATTAGATAAGCCACCTGCTCTGCAATGCTAACCTCCCTATACAAAATGGTTGTAAAGAGTTGTTGATGTAACTTTAACATTTCTTCATTTTATAGTTTATTGGGAAGTTAATTATCCACAAGTACTTGTTGTCAGCAATGCCTCGACCATCTATTTTCATCTCCATGCACTTGAGAACTGACAGTGTCCATAGCATTTTTACCTGCATATAAAAGAAGCCGCCTTAGATTATCAAGATACGAGATTTTCAACAATACATTGGCAAGAAACCATGTACGCATACGGATCATTGCAAGTTTGTGGGGTTTGGTGCTAGCAGGCTTGAAATATAAGTACCGTGACTACTCCAGAACTTCCTGGCACTTTAATTTGCTGTAGATGTGAGATTTACTTTTTACAATTGGAACAATGGGAAGAGCAGTATGCTTTCCATAAGTCTCAAAGAGAGATTGGAAAAGGGATAATTGTAAGGCACTTGGATAGATGAACTAACCTCTTGTGAGTTGTGACTCGAGTCTGTGTCTGTGTTGGAGGAGAAGCCTCATCACTTTGAACTTCAATTGTTCCCTTCATATCTTCTTTGCTTCCCCAGATACGAGTTCTGGATCCTCCACTAACGGCTGTGAATCATCAGCTGTAACTTCTAATCTCCAATCATCATTACTTCCGATCACCGCCTCTGCTGATACTTGCTGATCAGAGTCTAAGATGCCACCGCAATTGGACTGTGATGATGGAGTTGAAGACTGAGAAGCATTGGAATGGACTCATCTTCACTCATCTTGGTTTGCTCTAGCAGCTCGGTTGAATTACTGAAAGTAGCAAAACTTCTTGCTTCGGTGGGCACTACTGCAGACGCTGTCAGGAGAAGACATCCATCCCTTATACTCAAGAGATAATACTCAATGAAGCTTGTGAGTTCTGGACATGTTCAAAATGGTTCTCTTCCCCAAGTTCTTTCAATTTAAAGTCATCCCTAGTGATGTCGTCCACACGAATAAGCAATTTGTTGTAATTTTGCTTCCTCACTCTCTCCAGATTCTCTCATCTTCAAGAAGTCCTTTGTATACACCTATATCTATCCCATTACATCCCCAACTGAAACAAACTTCCTAAACACCTTCAACTACAAGTACTGTAACTACCATCACGAACACTAACATGCCTAAGCAAAGCAAACATCAACTTCAGACTTTAACTCAATACTCCCAATAAAACTCTAAAAATATCACATCGATTCTCATATAAAAATCGTGATTTGATGATGAAACATTAAGCAGAGATTATTACTTATCGGAGATGCGGATCCGTTAGTAGGTAGAGCCGCTGAGAGCAGCCAAATCAGCTGACGGTGGTGATTGTAACGGCGACGACGACGACGGCGATGCTTTTATTTGAGCTATGTTATATTGATGGGTTGAACTTCGGGTCGGGTCCGGTAATTCGGATACTCGGGTAGTTTGGAATTTGAGAAACCGAAAAACAGAATTACATAACGGATCGGGTCAGTTCGTCTATCTGGCTTTTTTGGTTATTTTTTTTTTTTGCTTACCAAAATGAACCGAATATTTAGGATTTTAGGTTAGTTTGGTAAAATCGAATCAATTATCTCGGTTAATTGGAGTAATTTTGGATTAGTATGTCATACTGGGTTGGTTATTTCGGTTAATTTCAGGTAAAATGGATAATTGGGTTAAACTCGGGTAATGGATCGGTTATGTCGAACCGAACCGTCCCGAACCAATAACTGACTGGTAACTGGTAATTAGAAATCTTTCCGATCGGTTTGGTTCCGTATTGTCGGGTCGGATTTTATTTCCAGGACCGTTGAAGTTTTTACTCTTGTTCCCAAACTGGTGACTAATTCAATTAATCGTGTGGATCTAGATGCAATTTAAAAAGTTTCAGGTCTATTTTCTAATAATTCGTAAAGTTTGAGGACATAAATTAAAGTATACTAATTTCAAATAACTTCTTCGGTCCTCAACTTCTCATAAATACATTAAACACAGCGGCGGCGGAGCTCATTCACACGCTGTGCCTGTGCCCTAATTCTCTCTACCGGAGTAGAAAAAGAAAAAAAAGAGAGTTCTTTTTTCAAACTCCGGCGATGTCGTACGACGATGTTGAGATAGAAGATATGGAGTGGAACGAAGAGATACAAGCGTACACGTATCCTTGTCCTTGTGGTGACTTGTTCCAGATTACTAAAGAAGATCTCCGGCTCGGCGAAGAGATCGCGAATTGTCCAAGTTGCTCGCTTTATATCACCGTCATCTATAATATGGAAGATTTTCAAAACGATGCGAAGAAGAACAACGAACCTAAAAGTCGTCAGCCTATCGCCGTCGCATGAGGTAATACTCTGTTTTTTTTTTCTCTGATTTTGAAGAAATTGGATTGTGTGATACTGTAAGATGCTAATTCAGAATACTTTTTCTGGTTAATTAAACAAAAAAGGAAACTTGCTCTGTTGACATGGTTTTTGGTTGTTGTTGTTTAAGGTTTAGGTTGAGATGATTGTCATATGTTTCATGTTTGAGGTCATTCTTGTGTGTTTTGATCTTGAAGAGGATAAAGCTATTCAATTTCTTGAGCTGTATGAATGTAGAGACAGTGTTCGCCGGAATTAGCTTGTTAAGGATCCATCTCTATGTTGAAATTTATGAAATTTAGATGTCAAAAGTTATGGGCATGAGCTCCTATTTATTTTTGATCTTGAAGAAGTTAAAGCTATTTACTTTTCTTGAGTTGTATGAATGTAGAGATCATGTTCGCTGGAAGTAGCTTGTTTAGGGTCCTTGTCTAAGTAGAAATGTCTGAAGTCTGGATGTCAAACGTTATGGCCTTGTTGTTCTAAGCTTGATTTATACTAGATTTTGCTATTTGGAACATGTTGTCAAAGTTAAAAACCATGATCTATGTGAAGAATTTTACTTCCTTTCCTGGAATATTTGTTGCTCTTCTCAGTACTATAACTTGATGAATGTTATCGACATCATAGTCTTTAGAAAGCGTTCGAGAAGTGATATTGGTTTGGTTCTCTAGTTAGGATCCAAAACAATAGTATAGGCTTTTATTGTTGTTAACCAAGCGTCGAGAACGAAGCATTTGTAACCACCGATCAAAGCAACCTGCAATCACAAACAAAACACCTTAACTCCCAATTGCAGTGTTACTGCTAGTACTTTTTTTACTCTCTGGATGGCTTATGTGAGAATATGTTGCTTCTTTGCAGATTATCATGGAACTGATTAGAAGATTATTCAACAACCACAGCAGAAGAGATTGAATCTGATGTGCAGAGTTTTGGAAAGCATTTTGAAACCATCCTTGAGAGTTTTACATTAACCACATATAGAAATATGTTTTAAGGGAATAGAGGTGCTGTGTTACTTGGTGTTTATTTATGGTTTATCAAAAAACCGAATTCTTGGTGTTTTCTTCCCTTCTTAAGTCCGATTAGAGTTTGTTCTGTTTTGGTTTGGAATAGGTTTCTACGGCAACAATACCTTAAATCCCGTTTGACGTGTATAAACTCCATAATTCATTTCTTTTTGAAGGATCCTAAACATGTCAATCGGGCTAGCCCGGCCCGGCCCGGCCGGAAACTCGTAAAGCCCTCATATATGTGAGCCCGGCCCGGCCCGGCCCGAAAAATTTCCGAGCCTATATTTCAAAGCCCGGCCCGGCCCTAACATGGCTACAGGGTTTTTCGGGCTTTTTTGGGCTTTATTTACCGATAAAAAAATCAATTTTTAAGTTCATAATAGTTTTTCAAAAACTATATTTAAAGATATACTATAAAAATAATGCATCAAATTTTAAATAACTTATCAATATTGAATAAAACTAACTTAATTTAAGAGAAAAAATAAAAGCCAAATAAATTATTTACACTTTAACCCAATAAAACATGGAACTAAAATACTTTAAAGTATAAGATAGAGTCAAAATTTAATAGATATTTTGATGATTTCAAAATCATGATACTTATATATATTTAGTTTTAGCTTTGTATAAAAATTTTAAAAGTAATAAGTAAGACTAGTAAGTAAATATGAAAACTATAACATTAATCAAATCTTTTAATCAAACTAAAATATTCAAAAAATTCAAAATATATTTGTATAAGGGCTTTTCGGGCCGGTCCGAGCCCGACCGGGCTAAGCCCAAAAAACCCTTTAGCCCGAATGGGCTTAGCCCAAAAGGCCCGGTTTTTTCTGGACATATATATTTAAGCCCGACCCCGATGTTTTTCAGGGCCGGGCTAAACTAGCCCGCGGGCTTTAGCCCTAATTGACATGCCTATCCTAAACCCAGAAAAAGCTCACCTTATACACAATTTTCATCCTGATTTTTGAAGGTGTGTCGTCTATCAAAGCTAATAATAATCATGTAAACACTTGTCAAGATCTCATCTTCATCTAACTAAATCAGCTTTGCGGCGCCATGTGGAACTTATGATGGTAGAGTTTGACCTATTTTTTTTTTTGTGGTAAAAATGTAAATATTTCATTAATAATGAAAATAGTTAGGAATTACAATGAAGTAAAACTTATAGATTGGTTCCATGGCAAAAAAAAAAAAAAAAAAAGGATAAAAAACATGGAATCAAAGAGACAATCAATCCATCGATCGACAAAAGCAGTGATGTTTTCGGAATAAGATGAAGTGATAAACACAATCAGTCCATCGACATCAACAAAAGCAGTTACACTTTTGGAGTCATTGAAGTGATAAACGATTTTGAAGATTCACCTAGATGAGGCCTCAAGGAAAAGAAAAACATGTTGTCAAAAGGCAATGACCGCTTCAAAGAAAACTATAGCGAATGGAAGCCTTTCACCGGAAGTCCGAGAAAATTGAGCCGTCAACGGTTTAGAACAAAGAGCTCTCGATCACTGACTCCCTCTTCATCAAGTGAGAGACGCATTTTGAACAATCCATGAGCTGTCTCAGAGCGGAACCACACGAACCAAAGGAAAACGAAAGCGCTAGCTCACTCTACCAAGCTCATTCCCCGAGGTCGGCTAGCACAGAGCAAATCTAACAATACGACCAAACGCTAAACAATCCTAAGGTCTTACTAGCTCCTCCACCAGCCAAGTTAGCTAATCCACAAACCAGAGCACAAGCCAACAAAATTTCTTCTCCACAAAGAGGCAACACACAAAGGGAACATAGCAAAACCAAGACTAACCAACACCCAGGAGTTTTGAGCACCAAACAGAGCAGCAAAAGCTAGAAGAGCAGTACCAAAGCAGGATCGATGGAGAACGAAAAAAGGAGAAAGCTCCTAAGCAGCTAAAATCGGCTAGCTAAACCGGCGGACTTGAGACTAACAACACCGGCATCGCAACAAGAAGTTCAAACGCTCGAGCTCCAACCTCACACTCCTGTCTTTGACACACCCTAATGGAGACCCCAATGTTATCCGATGAACCAACCTAGACCACTGGATTGAGAGCCAAAGAAGACTCAAGCTCCGAGAAAATTCTCAGGCCTGACGCAAACGCAAGGAGACAATAGCAACCTTCCACAGATCCACTAAAGTCTTCACACAGACGGATCAAAATGGGAAAGTACAGCAACACGCCTCCATTGCCGTCAGGATCCAGTAACCACCACTCAAACGCCTGAAGAAATAGGACCTTGAAACCAGAACAAAGAAGAGCACTGAAGCCGCAACACCACCGAACGAGACAAGCTTCTTTACCGATACGATCGAGGTAGATCTTAAACAGATCCACCAAACGCGGGCGACGAATCAAGAGGATAAACCGGTTGAAAGCTCCGCTGGAACTCATACCGACCCCTAGTAGAGGATAACCAGCCAAGAAAAACAACCACAACTACCTCGAGAAATCTCCCCGTTCCTAGATCTTCTATCACATGCTTTGAGTAAACAACTTGATTTGAAGCCAAAATTCACCGTGGAGCTGGAAGTCAGGAAATACAACAGCAACAAACCTCTTTAAATCAGGGCCCTCTCACAGCGCCGGACGAAACCGGACACCGATGAGGCAACGAAGCAGCGGCGTGAGAAAAAAAAAGCTTTGAAGATGAGAGAAAAAAAGTCGTCACACGTGAGATACACGCGCCCAACTTCCTTGTACTAGTTTGACCTACGTTGTTTAGAGTTTTGCATAACTCCACTCTCCAAATACTTAAGAATTTTAGAAATTCTTACTCTTGCATGGGTAAAAGAGGATCCATTGGAGTTCGAACCTACAGAGATGGGACTCATCTTTCCATGTTAATTTGTCTTTCGTATTCATAAACAGGTTGAGCAGTTATACCAGTTAGTATTAGTACCCAACTGGCGATGCATAGAATCGTAGGCTGCAAATGGATGACCACTAAAAGTGAGATAAAAGAAAGGAATCATGTATTCACATAGATTCATCCAAAAATATACAACTTGAGTTAAAAATGAAAAATTAATTATTCATTTCTTTTATCTCATATTAGAGGAATAGAGAAGAGAAAAGAAGAAAAGTTTTCCTTCACCCTACAAGAGATGAACAAGATGAAAACAATTCATCTTAATTTTTTTCATCTTATCATTTTCATCTCATTCACTCTTAAAGTAACCATTTGGGGTTTTAATATCTGAAATCGAAAACTGTATCTAAATTATACGAATCCTAATACTCACATGACTCATATATCTTCTTCTCTCTCGTCCTCGTTTCTGTCTTTAGAAGGGAATGATTTTTTAAGAAAATTTAGAAATTTGAAAGTTCTAAAACAACATAGAAATAAGTACATATATTTCATATTAATTTACAATATAAAATATATGTAATTATTTATTTGTTGGTTTGTTTGATTAAACAAAAATCATCAACTAATTTACTATAAATATATGAATCATATAATTACATATATTTCATAATTGTAAAATAAATATTAATTGCTATGGTAAGAAAATTTAACATTTTGTCTATGATATTAATTGTATGATAATTATCAAATAACTGTAAACTTATTAAACCGTGACCGTATATGACCATAATATTTTTACCCGTATATATAGAGGTTAATGTTATGTTGAAAGAAATTTTATAACAATAATCTATGGTTAATAAAACATAACTGTAATAACCTTAATTGTGGTCGTCCATATATAGAACCGGATCTTTGATACCCCGGGTGAAAGGCAAATTTCAACCTGGACAATTTTAAAAGTGTATTTTTATACCTAAATTTTGTTAACGTGTGAATTTCAACCTAAACTAAATATTTTTTCGAATAAACAACATGAACAAATATTTTGTTGAGTCATATGCCACATGTAAAAATTTTGCTGATTCACCTGCCATGTGTCATAATTAGAAAAAAATTAATTTAACTTAAAACAGCTAATTCAAAATTAAATTAATTCAAAATCCCTTGAAAATTATTACTTAAACGAACTCCCGTTTGGACAAAAATATTTGGTTTGCTCATAAATCACACTAAGTAGATGTTGAATAGTCTTTTATTGTTTAGACAAACGAATAGCAAATATAAGAATTCGAAGCACAATGAACAATCTATAAATTCTTGACGAGTTTCTGAAGTTGATTCGTTTGCTTGCGGTTACTGCTGAATATCTTATATGTTCTTAGTTTTGTGTTTCCAAATATTAAAAAGGTAAAACGTAAAATGTCATTTGCATTATTTCAGTTATACACCAAATATTGATACCCCACCGTATGTTGTTGTCAAAGGATTTTTGTCTAGAGCAGATTTAACTGGATTGACTTAATGTTTTGAAGGCTTTACAAAGTCTTTCTGTTTTGGATTTTTTAGAAAAATCAAAAAGATATTTCCTTGTTAAAGATGAGGATTTGAAAGCTCGAGGAGCTCCTCACAATGTTGAAAGTAGGAAGAAGAATTGGAGACGAAGATGAAGGCGATGGAGTGTATACAGGATCTGATTGAAGAGGCTAAAGTACAAACCGTATGGTGGGGCGTGTGCATCTTCTCCGTCACCTATTTCTTGACCAGTATGTAAAATTTTGAACCTTTTTCTCTTCGATTATGTTGTTAAAGCTGCAAAATTGCAGTTTATGATATCTTTAAGAATCACTTTGTAATACAAATTCACTACACTTAGAACGAACACGAGGCAGATATGTTTTATACGTTCTATTTTCTCTGTATCTTATGGTGTTAGTAGTAATATAATGGTTTTGTTGGACTTTATCTGTGCTAATCCATTGGCTTCATTGCTCTCGTATGCAGATACAAGTAAGTCTATGTGGATGAATTTGCCTATGGCAATCTTCATACTTGGTGTTATGAGGATTCTTTGGAAAGTTGTGCCAACTCCAAGACAGAGTCAGTTGTCTTATCTTGAGAAGCAGCAGTTGTTGTCTGTGAAAGATGCACGTCTTTCTGGTACCCCACCTCCTCCAAGGTGGAAGAAGAAAATCGACTCTCCTGTAGTGGAAGCTGCGATGAATGATTTCATTGACAAGATCCTTAATGATTCCGTGATGAATTTGTGGTACTCTGGGATTACGCGGGATAAAGAAGCCCCTAAACTGATACGCGCAGTTCTCATGGATGCTC